TACTTTTTATTTCTGGAGTTGATTGCAAATTAAAAATATTCGTCCTTGGAGTCTATTAGACAATTGGTTATATGCATACATATTATATGTTGAACATAAATATATTCCACTGTGGTGCATTTTCGTATAGTATTGTCATAAGAGGGCTGGGACGTTCTCATTTGGGCTGGCCTGGTGTGGGATGCTTATGGCTTCAATTAGTTATGATTTCTTTCTTATGAATAATTTACTGTTATTATTCTCTCGTATGTGTAGGTGTTTGCGCGTGCGTTATGAGGGGTGTGGCATTCTGATAAGGGTTTCTCAGAGTGAACAATTTATCTGATGAAATCACATCATGATACATATTAAGAATACGTTACGTAATTATCTAACGTTGCTCCTGTTTCTTCTCAGTAACATATCGGCCTTTCAAAATGCTGTCACGTGTGCCCTCACTGTCCTGACCCGGTGCAGTCCGTTCAAGCGACATCTGTTTGCTGACCCTGATTCCGCCACTCTAGGAATGACCACATTTTGTGACGACGAAGATTTTGATAGTATGTGCTTACTGTTTTTGCATGACTATTAAGATATGTTTCTGCAGATATTCGAGATACTGGCGATGCTAGGCATTTCTCTTCTCTATCCTGTCGCTGCCGCTTTTTCAGAAACCTAATTTGAGAGACAGACAGACAGACATTTTTTATTCAGTATATAAGGCCATGGCCCACATTACAGAATAATTTTACATTTAATTTGATGTTGGTAAACCAATAACAGTCATACATTTTGAAAACTATGAAAACATTTTTGCACAATGTACAGGCATAATATACCCTTCTAAAGATAACATGTGAATCTTATGTATGCCTTTATCAGAAAACTTAGCAATACTTATCGAAACATTAACCTTACATGACACAAGTCTAACAAAACTATCCTTATGCGGGTTACTCATATAGGTAAGGTGGAACCATTCAATTATGACAATATAAACAAAGTATATTACAGTACAAAGTATATTACAGTACAGTGTATTATCATGCCTCCCTGTTTCAGTTGCAAGTTTGAAGTTATTATTATAACCTAATTTGAGAACATGAGAACACGACAAATGTGCCTCACTATACAAATGCAACTTTTTGTAAATAACATGGCAGCGAGTGCTACTGTTTGACCAGAACCTGCTTACCTTTTGGGTAACAAAACAGCCGTGTTGAAAAATTTGTTTACAGTTCTGAATGTACTGAAATGGGATATTTGTTTAGATTGTGGTGTTTTGCAATGTTTCAGCCTTGTAAACTATCTAAAAAATCTCCAAAAATGCCTATTGGGCTCTGTGAACTTCTTATCTTCTGAAATTGCAAGACTGAGGAAGGTGAACTTCGCGATCGATATGCGTGTTTTCCCTCAAGAAAACAAATCTTTGTTAAAATCCTTCGAGTTTCACATTTATGCAGAACATAATTGAAAACATAACTCGATTGCAACGTTCCTTAAATGGCTCTTTTGTGGTATGTCACTTTTGACTACAGACTAAGGTGAGCTACAGTGTAGTAACATTATATGTTGTATCTGGTAGCTCATTTACAATGGGTTGTGTGTTGTTCAAAAAGTATTTCGTATATGATCTTTCAGAAGAGCGTTTAGTGGAGGTACGAAAAAAATTAAAATGACATTGACTTCGACCTCGAAATAGAATTTATCGCAAGATTTGTTTTCTAGATTTTGCCTCCAGTTGTGTTATGAAGGCTGACCAGAGCAGCTGCAAGAAACGGATGCCTCTGTCCAGCACGCCGGAACAAATATGCAGGTAGATAGATAGTATGTTGATTTGTGATATGTTTTACCATTGCATTAATAATAGCTATGCTGCAACGTATGTGAATATGGGTTGGTTGGTTTGTTGTTTAACGCCGCACTCAGCAATATTCCAGCTATATGGAGGCGGTTTGTAATAATCGATTCTGGACCAGACGATCTAGTGATCAACAGCATAAGCATCGATGTATTGGTATGCAATGTCAGCGAAACTAACCACCCGATCACGTTAGTCGCCTGTTATGGGAGGCATTTTACTGTTAGTGCTTTGATAAAACACACCCGTCGGGGTTCCGTTGTATGATTTTTCAAATACATTCATTCACTAGTCTACCTCATTCCTCATTGATTTGTAACATCTGTTTAGTGCAGCTTTGTTATTGCTGACTGATACAGGTATCACCCGATCTGGTGATACGAGTACTTAGGCAAACCTTGGCTTACTTGTTGTGTGTATTCCCTTTGGCAAGTGTAATGCTAGGAATTATTTGGCAAGTGTAATACCAGGATTAATTTGGCAAGTGTAATACCAGGAATTATTTGGAAAGTTTAATACCAGGAACTATTTGGAAACTAAATGTTCATAGAGTTATACCTGCTTGTGAAGGAACATAATACGCAGAGGCCCAGATAAGCTGAGTATTTGGGTAAAATACGCATAGAAAATTTCCAATTACGCATTGAAAAATAATTGTTGCGTACCAATTACGCATTTAATATAAAATGTTAGATACGCAAAATGTTTAAAACATATGCGTACGGAATATATTTATAAAAAGTGCTTGTGTAATGAAAAAGACATCGATTGCTATCAAGTTGTACTGTTAGTATAGGACTAGTGTTGTACTGTCAGTATAGGATGATTGATTTTTTTATGAAATCATTTCCATTATATTTAAGTTGGTTTTGCTTAGGTATGACATTAAGGCAGTACATACCTGCTAAGTAAACTTACTCAATACTTAGGTGAGTAAAATCACTGAAAGACCCACATATTTGAAAGCAGTGGGTAACAGAAAATGAAATACCCACTCAATATTTATAATACCCACTCCAAAAAAAATACAGTGGGTACAGTACCCACATGAACTAAATCTTATCTCTGATACGCATTTGATATGTAAGTAAACTAAGCCTGAAAGCTACTAGATTGGTGAGTAATAATAGTCAGGGAAAGAGGACCCAGCGATTGAAATCATGAGCATCGATCAACGCAGGATGACATGAGGCGTCACATAATAAGGGCTTGACCAGCCGATCCTGTTGGTCGCCTCTTGTGAATAGCCCGGTTACCGGTGTCGTGCGCTGTGGTATACAGCTGAAATACTACTGAATGTAACATATACTAACGATAAGCATGGGTTTCTGAAGACCAATCCTAGGCCTGATCCTCACGGGAACCCGAGACAAGAACTCAGAACATAGTGCTGATCCTGTATGAAACTGATTTACCTTATTGTTCCCTACAGCATCATCCAAACCTTCACCGATTGTATGAATGCGTCAGTGAAATCCTGTGATACAAGCACCACCGAGTTGTACATGCACCTGCTGTCAACCCAGGTTCCTACCCCCTGTGTGCAGGAAGGAAGGACGACCATACCCGTCCCCCAGAACAATGCTGGCCAAAGCTTTGCTTCAATGTTGATTACAGTACTCATATTTATATTTTCCAAAGTATGAAGAGTACAGCCAGAACAACTGTATCTGGACTTAACCTGTTTTGACCCGCATTTTGTTTCTTTACATACGTTGCAAACTCCATACACATAAAGAATACTTATAAGAATTTACGTTTCTTCATGGCGCGTCATGTTGGAATGAAAGCTCATATTTACCTTTATGTCAGTTTCAGCTGGAATGGGACAAGAGTGGGAAATGACTACTTTTGCTGTGGTCAAACCACAGATGATAATAATTTATTATGTTTAGATTTGTCCTTGTCCTTGTCTTTATTGTGACTGAAGTCAAGAATCGTTGTCATCACTAAATTCATTGTCTCCTTACAACCAACTACAAGAAAGCAGTTTCAGACTTTTAATGGAGCAATATATTACTTTCAATGTAAATAAACATCGTGTTGATTCCCTTATTTTTTCATGTTTATGTTAGTGAATGAGTGAGTTTAGTTTCACGCCGCACTGAGCAATATTCCAGCTATATGGCGGCGGTCTATAAATAATCAAGTCTGGACCAGACAATCCAGTGATCAACAGCATGAGCATCGATCTGCGCAATTGGGAACTGAAGACATGTGTCAACCAAGTCAGCGAGCCTGACCACCCGATCCCGTTAGTAACCTCTTACGACGAGCATGGGTTACTGAAAGCCAATATTCTAACCCGGACCTTCACGAATCTTATGTTTATGTGATGTCACCAGAGACGACAATAACGGTGTGGAATTAATGATCAAACATTAAGGTATGAACATCACAGTGAGGTTCAATCCGAGTAATCTTGAATATATCAACGTTTCCTTGACGCCATCGTCCAAGTGGAGTTGTCCGAATTTACACATTTCCAGATGGTCTAGTCACAAGTAAATGCTGTAATTCCACGGTGTTGACGTTGTTAACAGTTGTTTTTCCAAAGACGATATTTACAGGTGAATGAGGTCCGGATCAAAACGTTGTGATGTTCCATCATTTGTATCATTTGAAACAAATGCTCTAAATTTGGTGTGTAATGTATTACAATTACTGAAACTTGGCGTCAAGTGGGATCGAAAGAGCCGCACCAGTGGAAAATATTACACTTCATGCATCAGTGACAAAAATGATGACCGATGCAATTCCCCTTTTTAGACTTATACCATACGTTCCCGAATTATTTCAGGTAAACAATTGACCAGACTTAGCATGTGTTTATAACGGGTACCACCGGTGGGGCAGGATACGCTCACCCTTTCGGGAACATCTCGTATCATCACTATTTCATAGTGATTCATAAACACATGCTCTGTCATCGTATCGTATGGTGACAATCACTGGATTGTCTGGTTCAGACTCGATTTGTTTACAAACATCTTACAGCTGTATTGTACAATCGACTCTGCTTTTGGCAGAGATTTCTTATGAATGTGGAAAGGGTTTGTCGCTTCCATCTCTTTCTATATACACTGTCAGATAAACATAGAGTAACTTTTCAAAATATCTATACACAACAGGAAAGAATGGAATAAAAACCTGACATACATTTCATGTGTTTACTTGAATGTATTTATTGTCACTCAACATCAATACAATCGCGATTGTGTGACGATGTAGATTAGCCAACCAAGGGTGCCTGTTTTAGACACATAGACGGGGATTGGCTAAGTAGGACGTCCTTGAACATACTGACGGTCGTCTTACTGCAGTTGCTCACTTCTGAAACCAGACAGTTCTGGGTGGCGCTAGTGGCGCTGAAAACAAACATACAGAATTACAGAGAGCTACAACATATAATTCTGACTGACAATAATCTATTAGAGTATTTTCATGAAAACTCTTGAAATCATTAAATGCTTGGGGAATCCATCTTCAGACAATAACCAGTCTGTTTTGAGTACAGACATATTTCACAACGCACAAGGCAAAAGTAAAACTGATTTGAAACGATTATATAGAATCAGAGATGACACCAGATGTTCAGATAAGAAGACGCACATCTTGCTCCACCGTCAGAACACGTTTCACAGGAGGTGGTCTATCTCCTCTGCACAAACATTTCCGAAAGCCTCTAATATTGTTTCCTCGTGGTTAGAATGAGTGAGTGAATGAGTTTCGTTTTAAGCCGCTTTTAGCAATAATCCAGCAAAATCACGGGCTTCACAGAAATGGACTTCACACATTGTACCCATGTGGGGAATCGAACATTGGTCTTCGGTGTGACGAGAGAACGCTTTAAAAGCCAGGCTTCCCCACCGCCCCTCGTGGTTAGAATATACACTGACTCATTTAGGATTTTAAAAATGAGAACTGTTTGGAATATCTAAAGGACACAGGGTGGACACTTGACATGCCTTTGTGACGGTGCCACCGTGGGACTATTGATTTGAGCATGATCAAGTTTCCTTCTATCATCCTGTGATATCCTTTCTGAATATTATGTCCGCTCTTTACTTGATTGTGAAAAAAAGATGGCGTCTTGTACATTCTATGCAGTTTCTCATGTTAGTAACTCATTTACCTGTTATCAACCTCAATACACCTTTCATTTAGCAAAATGCAACAGCCGTAAATATTCTGACCTTCTTAGAACAGAAAGAAGTGACTTACGCGCACAATTGTTTCGGATCCAAAGCTGGGCGTCTACTGTGGCAAGTTCCTTTGGGTGCATTTTGAACGCACTTGGTGTCGAAATCTAATAACAGAAAACAATAAGAATGATTCACTGTATCAGCCTAAATGCAAAACCATAAAACTAATTAGAATGCAAAATATAAACGTCAGTAGTTCGTTTTTACTTCTAAATCTGGTCGTTTAAACTAACTTGGACATGCATCCCATATACAAATACATATTTCATATATCGCCACCGGTTTTACCTCTGCACACGTGAAATTAGTCGAATGTTTTTTTAATATATATTTTGCGTCTCAATACTCCCTTAAAAAAGACATACACGTATGGACAACGAACTCATGCTGAACTACTCACCCCCCGATATGACCACAGAGTTTAGCAAAGCCGTCCTGCACTGTCTGAGAGTCGGCCACCGTGGGCTTCATCGCGTCATCACTGCATTGCTTCTGTACCTGCAGAGTACAGTTGACTGCCTGCTGGTAGTCCGTCAGATTACTGTACGACATAAAACGTTACATCTGTGTCACAATGTGTTCATACTGTAGCAAATATATATTCTATGTATGTAGCACTTACTATTAAGTCACGCTTTCCTCATTCTGTGATAGGTTCTTTTAAAACAATTTTCATTGTAGTTCGTGTTTCATTTCATGTGCACTTTTCGAAAATCATTGGATATCAGTCACCTGCAACTGGTGTAAAAATATTCATAGCTGATTGTGTCATAACAAGGTCGTTCACTTGCTTAATTCGTGACACAACCTCTGGAATTGTTGGATTGCTTGCATCAGTTATGGTCGTAGAGAAATGCTGAATATTGAAAATGAAAGCATGTGACTGGTTGATAAACGATACAGATATATGTCTCTCTCTTTGGGTAAAATTAATAACATGGTTTGGAGACTTTATTTTCTATGTTCCGCTACATTTCTGTACACATTTGGAAATTAGCTTCAATTACCAGCTGGCTAACAATGCCCCACATTCATGGTACAGTGGCTGTGGTGACTGAAGCAATATCATGAAGGTGTAGTGGATAATGATACAGACACCTGAGAAACAACCTTGCAATACTATGTATTGTCACAAAACATCAAGATTTCATATGACGTCCATTACTTAGATTGCACATTTGCAATTTCCAGTTCTTTTAATACTGGACGTTCTCTGTGTATATGGAACACAGTCACTTGTCACTACAGGATCACTAGGAGATTATAAGGGATTACTAAAACTGTATATACCTGCACAGATTGTCATCTATTGTAATAGCGTGCATAATGCGCTGGCTAGTGTCTTCACTGGTTAGGTTTTCCGGGAATTGGAGCAGTATCCTGTTGTAGATAAAGCATTGATGGTAGCTACTTCGGATGTTGTCAGTGGTGGAACAGTCCACGGTGGGTGTGTCGAAGCTCTTGGGTGTTAGGCCTAACGAAAGTCAACACATGAATGTTAAAGTCGTAGGAACATGAAGTTTGGAATACAATGGTGCATGCCTATGGATTTATTTACATTCATTATCGCTTCTTGTGACAGGTATGGGTTACTGAAAATCAGTTCTAACCCCAGTATTTTAAGTTATTGTTTAGTATAAAACGATAACGAAATAAAGCTAATCCAATCCCTAAATGACATGTTTTACAACCAAACATAACTTAAGAGATATTAATTTCATTTGTCTTAGAAATGTTTGCATGTATAATGTTCCGACGGTAGCATCACAGGTACTGTGGATGTGGATGATTTCAGGTTGTGTCTAAAGATCATGATAGTGTGTACCTGTTGCTGTTCACCTGTTTAAAATTTCGCAATATAAAACAGTTAAAGTAATAAAATGCCCCTGTAACACCCTTGGCTGCTATAAATCAGATATGTACGTATACGTCTGTCAGTCCTGATGCAACAAGCCTATAGAACCTGACGTACATTCTGCAGCTGCGTTGTTTGAAATGATCATTTCGTAGAGATGGCGTGCGACCTCGCCACAGGTTGGCAGGTACTTGTGGGCACAGAAGGGTGTAAACTTTTCTGACCTGACATAATACACACATATATAGTGGCAATAGGAAATAGGAAATCAACTTTTTATTTAAATTAAGATTGCAATGTGATGTTTTGGCATTATAACTCTGTTATATGTAGATGGTGGCCGAAACTAAAGCATATGTCATAACAAATTACGGATTATGTTCTAATGACATGTTTAACATTACTGAATATGAATTATCATATTCCTTATGCCAGGATTATTTGGGAACGATAAATGTCTTAAGAACCGGTTCATGGATATCAGTATGCCATTCTAAATAACATATGCGACTGTTATGGGGAAAAGGACAGAAACAACCCCCAACAATCATTTCACAAGGTGTATCGCAATGTGAATTGTAGTAATGCTTTTCAACACCGAACCCTTTTTATGGGTTTGAGGCACATATACGCACTGGAGATTTTATAACAGGAATACTCACATACAAGTTCCCTTATGGAAATACTCTGTATAATTGAGATTAATAAAATCGCTGAATGTCAAGTAGGTGAAGGTAGAGCTGCAGTCCGCTATTTTGGACGTCATTTCAAACATGCAGCTTATGTTGAATTCTGCAGGAGCAAAGATGTAATGTTTAGTTAAATACAGAACATTAACAAATTTTGTTGGGTGTAAAATGAACAATAGCTGTGAAAATTATATGAACGGATCATTAAAAATCAGTGATGACACCAGGTGTTCGCGAAAAGAGTAAAAGTGTCCGGCCCTACCGTTAGCAAGAACCATTTACAAAATTTGTCTAAATCGTAGTTTGTGCCTGACGCCGCAGAGCAGTACGCCTGTCATGACAGACAAGGGTTATTTCGGTGACTACAATGAACATGACAAAAGTACCATTTATCTGAGTATCTAAAGCAGAAACCAAATGGACAATATTGAAGTTATATCTTGGAACATCTTATCTGGAAGCCTTACTCTAGGAGTCAACTTTCTCTTCATGTCGAGCAATATTCACTAAGGTGTTTGGTTTAAAGTATGTTTTACATATCCGATCTAGTACATGGTCCATGGGACTTGCCTACTTGATTGTCTTACTTCCTTGAACTGTCGATGCTTTGTGACACCTGTAATGTTCCCTCGTGTAAATATTTATATTCTGTTCCAATTGGAAATGAAACTAAATATTTAGGATGTTGGGGCCAGATTAAGCATGCGGAAAAAATCATTTGAATTAAATCTGTCGAAGTGGTACATAAATATGTACTCTGTACTCACTGTCCAAGTTGGCACAGGCATATGCTTGTGCCTTCTTCACCGTCTGTGAATCTAGTGACTGGCCCTGGGTACATTTAGAGAGTATGTTTTGCGCACACACTTGCGCTTTCTCGTAAGTGTCAAGATTCCTGGAACAGGGTTTGTTAAATGACAATGCTGTACCATTGATCATATGAGCACTATGTATCATGAGTACGAGTATCATTTATTTACTCTTTTGCCACACCGTTCTGAAATATAGCCCACAGAACCTGATGTTGGTGGAGGATGATAACTTTCCAATACTACTTAAGCAATATTCCAATCTTAATAACACATCTCACTTCTCGCTACCGCTCAACAATGATCTCAGGTCATGGCATTTAGGGTTAGAGCGACCTTTAGTCAACAGTGATTGACAAAAGACTGGACTACCAAGAAGTCGACATAAGCCAAACATAAAACAACTTTTTGGCGTATAATAGTCTTAGTTCCAAACTGATTTCCATTCCAGACTATACCTTAAAAACTACTTTGACAAAGTTCTCGATTCTAAAATTCTAAAACGTACGAAATTAAACTTCAGGAATGTCCTCAAATTGTTGTTGATTTTTTTCTTCTTTATCGTTATCAAACTATTGCCACCGTCATTTTTGATAATTATAAGTAGTATTGTAGGTCAGGTCCATACTAACCTACACATATCAGCTAGATATGCCGGGGTTATCAGCTGTGATAACAACGAAGGATTTGACAAGTTGGCAAATTCCTCAATGGAAGGCATTTTGAAGGGGATATTGTACGCATCAAGACACTTCTGTGAAGCTACGAGCATAGACTGTGGATCAGTGCAGTTGACTTGCTGTGAGAGAGCGGTCACATCCAACGTCCCATCATTACCTGGAATTCAATGAGATCACTAAACACGTATCTACTGCTATGTATAATGATGAAGCTGGCTCTTCATAAAAATATTTATCACAGTTCGCCCAGTAATGATAATTTGTCTTCGTTTATCACCGTAAAGTAGGCTTACATTAAAAACTAGATCTCACAGAATGAAATAGATATATTAGTTCGACAGATTTGCAAATTGGAATCACAGTTATGCCGGATGTCGTGGAGACACCATCATGTGAGTAAGTGAAACATTGTTTATTGCTTGATAGCTCATCAGCAATTTGGTAAGTATTTGCGGTAGAACATTAAGCATTAAGAACATAATGTTTATTTTGACTCCGGCTTTGCAGTATAACGCGAAATGGGATATATGTTTTACAAACTCTTCCATACTTGAAGGTTTCATGAAACAGAGTACAACTTTAAACCCGCCCACAAACTCCATTAGCCCTAGTACTCGGTAGGTTGCATATAGAAATCGTTAGATTTGTGATAGTTGATGAACCCAAGTCAGATGAATTTTACATTTCAAGAGACGGATATATAAGTAAAGGCAGCACGTAGAAATACTAACCTGAAATCAAAGAAAACAACGCGAATAGGTACAAGAGCCCCATTATACAAACCGTTTCTTGACAAACATACACGTTTCTCTGCGTAATTTCAGTGCTGAAATATATACTGGGCTTGATGCACTCCCACATTGTTATCTGTGCAGATTGTAACATCTGGCTGATTACACAAAACCAAAACAGATAACGCTGTTGCGAAATAGTGTTGAAAGTATTTCTTATGATACCTGCGAATAGCAATTTCCAGATTACCTATGTTGTGATCATACACACACACACACACACACACACACACACACACACACAAACGCACGCACGCACATATATCCTGGAAAGGAATCATCTTAAGTCGGTCAGCAATACCTGATTTAAAATATCTGCTAATCATTTCGATGGGATGAGCCAAAAACAAAAATAGTATAATTAGTAAACATACATCCTTGCAAAGAGGTTAAAGTATTTCATGTGTGGGCTATGACATCACATTGAAAGCCAAATACATGTTGGTTGTTCCTTTTAATCGTAGCTGAACAACAATTAATCATTTGTATGCTTAACATACGACCATTTGTGTAGAATTTCAAGTCTCAATTTCTCTTAATCTGAGTGTTGTTTATCATTCACTTCAAATAATGAGACTGTTCAGGGAACTGGTGTTTGTAATATTACAATACATCACATGTGAAGTTAACTGGTCCGTTAAAGTAAAGCACATTCCTCCCTACATTCCCAACATAGCCTTAACAAACGTGCTAAGTCTCTGTTCGGGCAAAGACAACTAAAAACATCATAGATGTATCTTGTAATGTGTTTATATCTATAAGTATTGCATCTTCATAAATATCACTTTATAGAGTCTCAAAGCGAAGTATTTTAAGCATACATGTTGCTGTATGTGAATCCCAGTATTCAGCCTGACTTGACCCGGGCTAATTATATTAATAGCCAATTACAACCGCATGCAGCTTACCTTATCGCCCTTTGTATAATTGCAATTAAGTAAGCGATGTGTTTCATTCAACACACCCCACTACGACCACTTGCCCTCAGGAGCCCTGTCAGGAGTTTGAACAGCGTACAGTTTCATTGATAACTTGTTTCACGAATACGCATGTTATCACTGGGTATTGATAAAACATTATAAGTATTTCATTATAAGTAATAAAATGAGACAATTTACGTAATAACGGTAACGCGTGATATCTGATAGTTATATGAGTTTTTATACAAACGTATAAAAACATCGCTTTTCACCAGGAAGAACATAACACTAAGTTGTCTAACTAGGATCGAGAGTAGTTTGTTTCGCTGTGGAAACTTTGTCAGAAAGTGTCGGAGATGTCCATTAGCGATGTGGTAAATTGCAACTCAGATAATATTTTCCTAAACACAAAGACCAGCAACAGAGGTAACAAAGAGAGTTGAGGTTATACGTTTTCCCTTAAATCCACAGTGTTCCACCTTCTGAAGGTATGAACACCGGCGTAAAACTAAACTCACTCACTAAGGTATGAACACCACAGTGAGGTTCAGCCTGAGTAAACTTGATTATATAAACGTTTGTTGGACGCCATTGTCCCAGTGGAGTTGTCCGAATTTATACATTTCCAGATGGTCTAGACACAAGTAAATACTATATTTCCACGTTTTTTGACGTTGTTAACACTTCTTTTTCCAAAGGCGATATTTACAGGTGAATGAGGTCCAGATCAAAACGTTGTAATGTTCCATCATTTGCATCATTTGAAACAATTATCTAAATTGGTGTGTAATGCATTACAATTACTGAAACTTGGCGTCAAGTGGGATCGAAAGAGCAGCACCAGGCAGTCACACATGTAGGCTCACTTCTGTTGGAAAATATTACACTTCTATACACACTGTCAGATAAACATAAAGCAACTTTTCAAAATACCTATACAACTGAGGAAAGAATGGAATACAGACCTGACCATACATTTCACGTGTTTACTTGAATCAAACCGAGACATGAGTCTCATTAACCTATCAGACAATGACCTACTTTTCATCCGATCCGAATTTTCTCGTGTGAAAGTGAAAATAGACATCACAAACAACTATGGTTACACTTAATTCCAATTCCTTGTTTCATAAGAAAATGGTACTTACAAATGAATTTTAATTTTAAACTTTTATAACATCGTATTTCTACATTTTATATCGAGGTGTAGGCAGCGTGACCTTAACTAAGGTACTCGTCACAGACTCAGTTTGATGAGATCGTAAAATGATTCACAATGCATCTGACTCACTGGTTACACCTGTTTTGTGTTTTTTGCGCTTATTCAGTGTAGTTCTGTAACGCACAGTGTGATTGATATAATATCAAGTCCGTACCAGACCGCCAAACCTTTCTAGCGGCAGAGCCTCGTTTAGGGATTTCCACGATTTCCAGGTTTCTGTTTGTCAGTGCTCGCTGTACTACAGAGCATGCTGCACGACATGTTTTCAAGGATTATAAGGAGCGTAGTGTTGCAATATACAAGAGCTCAGATGTATCAAATAATACTGATTAATATTTATGTATCCAGTTAAATGAATTGGTCTCAAAATCCTGGACTGGTTATTGTACTAAGCTGCGCAATAGGACGGAACCCAGTCAACAGGAAACGAGACTGTTGTGTGACCAATGGTTTGACTTGTATTTATTGTCGCTCAACAGCAATACAATCGCAACTGTGTGACGATGTAGATTAGCCAACCAAGGGTGAACCAGTGGCCTGTTTTAGACACATAGACGGGGATTGGCTAAGTAGGACGTTCTTGAACATGCTGACGGTCCTCTTGCTGCAGCTGCTCACCGCTGACACCAGACAGTTCTGGGTGGCACTAGTGGCGCTGAAAACAAGCGTGCACACTTACAGAGAGCTACAACATGCAATAGTGAGTGACAATAATAAATAGAAGCATTCAGTACTGACATATTCCACAGCGTATAAGGGAAAAGTAAAACTGATTTGAAATGATTATATAGAATCAGAGATGACACCAAATGTTTGGAGAAGAAGATGCACATCCTGCTCTACCGTCAGAACACGTCTATCTCCTCTGCACGAACATTTCCAAAAGCCTCAAATATTGTTTCCTCGTGGTTAGAACATTTGCGGCTTTAGTAAAGTTTTAAAACGTACAGATGGACACATGGCATACCTTTGTTTGTGACGTACTAAAGTTCCTTCTATTACCCTGTGATATCCTTTGGGAATGTCAAGTCCGCTCTTTACTTGGTTGTGAACAAGATGGTGCCTAGTACATTCTATGCAGTTTTTTCATGTGTATGTTAGTAACTCATTTACCTGTTATTAACCTTAATACATATTTCATTTGACAAAAAGCATCAGTCGTAAATCTTCCGACCGTCTTGGAACAGAAAGAATCTACTTACGAGCACAGATGTTTCGAATCTATAGCGCGCCTTCTACTGTCACACGTTCCTTTGGGTGCATTTTGAACGCACTTGGTGTCGTAATCTAACAACATAATACAATAAGAATGATTCATTGTATAATGCTACTTAGAATAACAGCAGATATTTTGTTTTGTATATGTACCTTAGCGGTGTTTCAAGTTCAGATCTAAATCTGATTGTTGTAAAACTGCCACCTCTAATCTGTCTAACTACCAACGATATGCATCTGATATACATATCACATATCTCGACCGGGTTTAACCGTTACACATTTGTAATCAATCGTATATTTGCTTTTTTACATTTCGCGTCTCAGTACTCCCTCAACAAAGACATACACGTATGGACAACGAACTCATGCTGAACTACTCACCCCCGATATGACCACAGAGTTTGGCCAAGCCGTCCTGCACTGTCTGAGAGTCGGCCACCGTGGGCTTCATCGCGTCATCACTGCATTGCTTCTGTACCTGCAGAGTACAGTTGACTGCCTGCTGGTAGTCCTTCAGATTACTGTACGACATATAACGTTATCTGTGCTATGACGAGTTTATATTGTGATAAATATATATTCTATGTACAGAGCACTTACAATAAAGTCATGCCCTCCCTCATTCTGAGACGAGCTCTTTTCAAATAATTTTCATTATAGTTAATGTTTCATTTTATGAGCACTTATCGAAAATGATTGGATTATATTCATAGCTGGTTGTGTCATTAGAAGGCTGCTCACATGCTTAATTCGTGACACAACCTCTGGAATTGTTAAAATGCTTGCATATGTTCTACACATAGAGAAATACTAAATATTGAAAACGAAAGCATGCGGACATAAATATCAGTACTCACAAGGTTATCAAAAGCATAAAACGTGTGTACATTTGTTGAAAGAAGTATGAAGTTTTGTAATCACAAACAGTTGACTGGTTGATAAATAATGCAGATATATGTTTGTCTCTGGGGAAAATTCACACCTAGATTAACAGCTAATTTGGAAATTCGCTTCAATTACCAGCTGGCTAACAATGCCCCACATTATGGTACAGTGACTGTGCTGACTGAAGCAATATCATGAAGGTGTAATGGACACTAATGAAACTGTCTACAGACGTCAGAGGTAAACCTTGCAATACCATGTGTTGTCACAAAACATCGAGACTTCTTATGACGTCCATTATTTAGATTGCACATTTGCAATTTCCAGTTCTTTAAATACTGGACCTTGTCTGTTTATATGGACCACAGTCACTTGTCACTACAGGATCACAAGGAGACTGTAAGGGATTACTAAAACTGTACAATGTATATACCTGCACATATTGTCATCCATTGTAATAGCGTGCATAATGTGCTGGTTAGTGTCTTCACTCGTTAAGTTTTCCGGGAATTGGAGCAGTATCCCGTTGTAGATAAAGCATTGATGGTAGCTCTTTCGGATGTCTTCAGTGGTGGAACAGTCCACGGCGGGTGTGTCTAGGCTGTTGGGTGTTAGGCCTAATGAGAGTCAACACATGAATGTGAAAGTCGTAGGAACATGAAGACTGGAATACAGTGGTACATACCTATAGATCTATTTACATTTATTGCCGGTTCTTGTGACAGGTATTGGTTGCTGATGATCTTAACGGGCATTTTAGAATATTTTTGGTGTAACACGATAACGAAATAAAGCTAATGCAATACATACGTAGCATGTTTCAAACCAAACATAACTTAAGAGATATTGATTTTAGGTTTTGAGAAATGTGTGCATGTATAATGTTCTAGCAGCAGCACACCTTATGAGTATGAACGTGGATGTAGATGGTGTCAGGTTGTGGCTGAAGATCGTGACATTGTGTACCTGTTACTGCATTCACCTGGATACCATTTTTACAATATAAAACACAGGTAAAGTAAAGTAGGGAAATGCCCTTGAAACACCACTACATGCCCTTTGTATGGCTGCTATAAATCAGATGTGTACCAATATGTTTGCCAGTCGTGATGCGACAAGTCAATAGAAACGGACGTACATTCTGTGTTGTTTGGCAGGAATGCTTTGTAGGTGTGGAGTACGACCTCGCCACATGCTGACAAGTACTTGTCGACACAGATCGATGACACCTTTTCTGACCTGACATTAATAGGGACATATATCGTGTAGATGGAATCAACCTTTTATGCACATTAAGATTACGATTTGATGCTCATATTTTATAACTTATGTTACATGTTGATGGTGTCCAAAAAGAAGGTTATATTCCTTATGCCAGGACTATTTTGGTAATATCTTAAGAACCTGTTCTTAGATTTCAGTATAACATCCTAAATAACATATGAGTTTGTTAGGGGAAAATGATGAAAACGACCCAACAACCATTTAATAAGGTCTATGGCAATGTGAATTAGAGAAATGCTTTTCAGCACCGATTCCTTTTTCTGAATTTCCATAAAGACTTCGGTTGTCATGAGACGTGCATGCACGCACACAAGTTGTATAATGCAAAGGAAGAGATTTTATAACAGGAATACTTACATGCAAGTTGCCTTGTGGTTAAACGCTGAAACGGTGTGGTTAACATGATCGCTGGTAGTCAAGTATTTGGCGGTAGAGCTGCAGTCACCCATTTTAAACACCATTTCGAACATGCAGGTTGTGTTGAATTCTTCATGAACAAACGCGTAATGTGGGTAATGTTTAGTTAAATACAGAACATCGGTGCAAGTGAATACACAAACCAAGGCTTACAATCACAGTACCAGAAATGTATTCTTTCGGTGACCAGAGTAAAAATGACCAAAGTACCATTTATCTGAGCATCTAAGGCAGACACCAAATAGACATGTATTTAATAGTGAAGTCATATCTTGAAACCTCTAGAAGTACTGCTGGTGTCCATCAAAAATATATTGATTTAGCTGTAGCAGGGAGTGATTTGATAACACAACGCCAAATGGAACCGTGCATTCTCTTCAAACATTTTATCCAGTTTACAAAGGTCGAGTTGTCGCGTTTAATAGATGAATATTAATATTTTCAGACAGTTACATACGGATTTTTCTTTCGGAAATAGTTTCTGTACAGTAGTTTTTACGTGGAAAAACAAATAGCGAAACCTATCCTATATTGATAACTGATTCTGATCTCAAAACTAACTCTTCAGACTATACACCCACAACAAACTGCTGAGATCTTTTGCAGACATACTTTGGGGACTGAATGTACCCTTTGTGGCTTAAGATTTTTTAGACAATGTCACTGGTTTTGACGTAGCAAAGCATTATGTATATATGTGATGACAATACCATTGCAAGATTATTTTGTGGAAGGGTTTTGAACCTACACTCTTGAGCTGCAGCCATTGCTACCCGAGAGGTGTGAGCAGGTGCATTGTCTTGGAGAAGCCAGACTCCTCTCCAAAGTTTTCCTCGCCGTTTTTTCTTGATCCTCTCCCTTAATTCAGGCAATTCACCAGCGTAATAATTACCAGTGATGGTAGAGCCTTTCTGCAGGTAACCAATCATGATTATCCGCCCTTTGTCCCAAAATACTGACGCCATAAAATTTCCACTGGATGGCACCATCTTGAACTTCTTAGGAGGCGGCGATGTTGCATGTTTCCATTGCATACTTTGACATTTCGTCTCAGGATCAAAATGATGAATCCAGGTTTCATCTTGTGTAACAATCTATGGCCAAACATTGTCTGGATTGGAGCGATATTTCTCTAGCAGTTGCTGACTGACCTCAAGTCGTCATTGCTTCTGTTCCTCAGAAAGCATTCTGGGCACCCATCGGACCGACACCTTATTCATGTGTAAATGTTCATGGATGACCCTTTCAATTGTTGTTTTACTAATGTGGTGGATAGTAGCTAGTTGTCTGATAGTCATTCGTCAGTCTTCCATTATTGAATCACGGACAGAATTGATGTTTTCCTCGGTGGTTACCTTACAAGGTCGTCAAGAACGATGCACATCCTGCGTGCTCTCTCTGCCTCTAACAAATTCTGCACACCACCGTTTAACTGCACTATAAGAAGGAGCAGATGTACCTAATGTCTGGGTCATATCATCATCAATTTGCTGCGTTGTGTACTTTTTTAAATGGAGATACTTTATAACCGCCCTTCATTCAGTTGTGTCCATTTTGACTGTTAACAGGAGGGTGGTATTTATCAACAACTGATACCTAGAAAACCATATGCATACAGTTCATGATGTTCATGCATTTCCACATGCACATTCCCCATGTGCAGCTTGTGCAATTTGGTTGCACTCCGACAACTATTCCATGGTGAGGCTCACTACTTATGGAACACCCCTCGCATTAACGCCAGACACCACTATCCCACACGAAAAACTTGATTTATATAACAGTGGGGCATTCGTGATTAGACCTTGTTATCACAGATGCTGGTGTAAATACATCTTTATCATCAAAGGTTCAGGACACTTTGTCAAAGAGCATGGCACCTAAAGTTTACTGAGGAAACATTATGTACACATGCATAAGATTACTGAAATGGCTTTGAAAGTATATTTTAAGTAAAGTTTCCGAGATATGTCAGTATATTTAGAATATATAACATCGGCATCTATTTGTTTTCTAATTTTGAATGTTCAAATTACGAAAAACGTACCACATGTGAAGTAGGAAATCTTACATCAACAGTTTTCATAAGTACGTCACTGAGGAGTTTGCAATAAAGTATCTTTGATTTATTCGATCAGGTAGATGGTTTATGGGGCTTGTTTACTTAATTGTCTTACTTCCTTGAACTGTCGATGCTTTGTGACATCTGTGATGTTCACCTCGTGTATAAAATTAACCTTCTGCTCTAATTGGAAATGAAATCTATTATTTATGATGGGTGGGATCCGATTCAACTTGTGGAAAAAGCATTTGACTTAAACACATCAAAGTGATTCATAAGTATATACTCTGTACTCACTGTCCAAGTTGGCGCAGACATATCCTTGTATCTTCTTGATAGTCTCTACAGGTAGCGACGGGGTCTGGTTACATTTAGAGTATAGGTTTTTTATACATACTTGCGCTTTCTGGTAAGTGTCAAGATTCCTGGAACATATTTTGTAAAATGACAATGCTGTACCATGGACAATATGAACACTATGTACATGGATCATGTATGTACTGTTTTGCTACAACGTTATCTATATAATGATGCGGAATTCCAGAAACACAACACAACCATGGTGTTCGAGGAGGATAACTGTCCAATACTACTTTTAACACTAAGCAGTATTTCAATCTCCATATCTCATCTCACTTCTCGCTACTGCTAAACAATGATCTGAGGATATCCCATTTAGGGTCAGAACGACCTTCCCCCAACAGTGATGTACAAAAGACTGAACTAACTAGAAGTTGACATTTGCGAATCACCCAAAACAAAGTCCTCGATTCGAAAATTGTAAAACGTAAGAATCTATCTATGCATTTTTGGATGCGTTGGTATGCACCAGATTTAAAAGATATAAGTGGAATAACATCGATTGCGAAGCATTCACTGCACTCCAGTCATCGTTACAATTAGTAGTATTCCAATTGTTTTTATCCTTTATCTTCATTATCTAAAAGAAATTAAAAGTACTATTGCAGGTATTATCCATACTAACCTACACATATCAGCTAAAAATGCCGGGGTTATCACATTATACAAATAGGAAGTCATTTTGAAGGGGATATTGTACGCATCAATACACTTCTGTGAAGATACGAGCATAGACTGTTGATCAGCGCAGTTGACTTGCTTGGGAAGAGCGGTCACATCGAACGTCCCATCATTATCTGGAATTCAATGAGATCACTAAACACGTAGGTACTGGTATGTATAATGATGAAGCTAAAGTTCAACTGGTTATTCATTATTATTTTTTAGCACAGTTAAGCATAATTTGTTTTCGTTTATAACGAAAAAATAGGCTTAAATTAAAAAGTAGGCTTACAAAGAATGAAATAGATATATTAGTTCGCTCGATTTGCAAATTGGAATCACAGTTTGCAACTCCACCGGATGTCATGGAGACACCACCAAGTGAGTGAGTGTGTGAGAGAGTGGTTATTGTTTAATGGCTCATCAGCAATTTTGTGACTATTTGGGGATGAGACCATTCAGACATAATGTTTAGTTTGGTTCAAGTTTCCAGTAACGCCAACCGGGAAATAGAGTTTACAAAACTCCAACCAGCCAACAAATTCAAGTACCCCCCAGTGCCCAGTTGGTTGCGAATATTAACAAAATTCGGGATAAATGATGAACCCAAGTCAGATGAGTATTTGTAATGAACAAGCCGTACGTTGTTCAAGTTACTTTTCAAGAGGCGGATATATACACTAAACGCCAACAGAAACGTTACCCTCCTTCCGTAATGACGGAGGTACCTATCTTCAGCTGGCGTTGAGATGCGTGGACGTCCACTTCTTGGTCTGTCTACGGTGACCCCAGTCTGTCTGTAGCGCTGAATCTGTCTTATAATCGTGATGCGGTGGCATCCGAGGGCGTTGGCAGCAGCAATGTATGTCGACCCAATCTGCACCTCGGCTCTTTCGGCTCTTTCTCTCTCTTCAGCTGTTAATCGTGGCATATTTCTCGTACTTGTGTATCATATCATGCACTCTAGTCTCTCTTTACCCTATAGAATTATTCTACACGTGAAATGGATGGAAATACTGTTTTAATATTGCTATGTTTTGGCGATTGATATTGCTATGTGTAAACAGAAAATGGGAAACTGTTGCTTTGCAAGCAAACATGTTAACAAAGATAATTTTAGATGTTCCTAAACCATTTTTCACAATATCAAAGACATGTTTGACTTTTTTCCACTGATGCAAATCAGCAGAAAATGTTTTAAAAGACTGTAATCATAGGAATGATTCTTTGTCAATTTTACACACTATATAACAGTTATTTCTTGTTTTAATAGTTGAATAATGGTGACTTTAAATGGTTTATCTTTGTCTCAAAGCAGAATTTTATTTTAACCTTTCTTTTGGACATCTAAATCACTGTTATTGGTTTATGTCGGCACAGTCGAAAATAGGACAATTTAAGTTTTCTGAAAAAGATGCATTTTACCTAAATATGAATGCATTTGAGAATTTGTTTTTCGTTATTTGCATAATGCTGGGTTGTTAAGCTTTCTTGTAAACTAATACCCTCTAACATATCTTTGATAGTTTTTAAGTAATTCGTAAAAGAAGGAGGTAACGTTTCTTTTGGCGTTTAGTGCAAGTGACGAGATCACGTAGAAATACTTACCTGAAACCAAAGAGAAAATCACGAACAGGAACAAAAACCCCATGACTCTAACCGTCTCTCGACAAAGATACATGTTCTTCTTCATAAGTACAGTGCTGAATTATATACTGGACTTGAGACACTCCCACATTAGTATCTGTGTAGATTGGCTCTTCATAAAGTACACGTAACGTGGCTGATTTCACGTAATCAAATAAGATAACCGTGTTGCGAAATATTCTTGGAATATTTCTTTATAGAACTCGAGGTTGGCAATTCCCAGATTACCTATTTTGAACCGTGCTGTATGTTGCTGAGTGTATTTGCGTCAGGTGCATCTCTCATCATGCATGCATACACACGCACGCACGTACATATCAGATATCGGTACAGATATGAAGAATAACCATCTTCAGTCGGTAAGCTGTGCCTGATCAATGTTACTAATTTCTGGAATGAGGCAAAAACAAAAGTAAAATAATTATCAAAAATACAGTAAGTCTTATGTTATTTATGACATCACATTGAAAACCAAATAGAAGTTGGCTGTTCCTTTTAATAATAAATGGACAATTATTTATGTGAATGCTTTTTCACAATTTACATACGAAAACAAATTAAAATGTTCATGTCTTAATATTTCTTAATCTGACCTTTGTTTAACATTCACTTCAAACATTCAGAATGTTCAAGTCTCGGGCCAGGTGTTAGTCACATGCACTTAATTCAAGGAGGAAATAACTGTCTTGCTTGCACACACAAACAAATGGTAATATATTCAAGTAGTATACACAATGAGAGAACGGGATCACTCACCCTTGTCAAGTCTGTTCACCTCAATTCCACTCCCACTGCCCCACAGGCCAAATGCAGGGGAACACCAAATAATGTCCCGCTAAATTTGACCGGTTTTGCGGGGTTGAGGAGCCATTCTCTCATTGTGTAAACTACTAGTGCCTAGGGTGGTAATACCGTATCACTGGGTACTATAAGTCATTCTTCTGGCTCAAAGCCCTTGCCTGGTCCGTCCTTAAGGTACAAAAAATGTTCGCCTTTTTATTTCATATCCCAAACTGGGTTAGTTGGGCGGCACTGACGTCCCTCGGGCTGGTATAAATATACTGAAAGCCATTAAAAACGCAATTGGTATTTGTTGTCCTGAAACTTACAAAAGTTCTATTGAAGATTTTTTTCCTGTGATACAGAGGATGTAGGGATAAAAGGCTGTTATTCTGACCCATTTAGAGTTCGAGTCCCGGAGCATTCCTCTCACATGAACTTTGATACTTAAAACTGAACCTTTGACATTTCTCGTAAACACAGCCACATTCATGAAACACGTTGTGCACATGCATTACCTGCACCCAGGCCCTGTAAAAGCACAAGGAATTGTGGAACTCAATCACTTTGAGAAAATGCCACACTTGACACAAGACGAAAAGAATCAGGTTATCGGTATGGTCAGCCAAGGTGCTTCAGATGTGATGATTGCCAGGCACTTTAATGTGCATCCATCCACTGTAAGTCGACTCAGACAACGTTTTCGGGCTACCGGAAGTGTTGCTGATCGTCCGCGACCTGGTGCACCACCTGTGATAACAGCTCGACAAAACCGCAATATCCGAGTTTCACACTTGCGAAATCGGTTCGAAACAGCTGAGGACAATTGGGACACGTCAACGTCATTTCAGCGCCCAAAAGGTGCAAGGACGCCTTGCTGCCTTCAACATCCGGTTTCGTCACTCGTACCGTGGTCCAACCTTATTGCATCGCCACAGACTTGCCAGACAACGATGGGCAGCAAATGGGGGAAATCTTGGCAACAGGACATGGCCAGATGTCATTTTTTTAGATGAATCCAGGTTTAACTTATCCTTTGCAGATGGACGTCAACAGATTTATCAACGTAAAGGAGAAAGACTTGCGCCAAACTGTGCCCTTGAACACGTTTTGGAGGGGGTGGTGTCATGATCAGACCACAGACCATCAGAGGTTGCAGACCATCCAACAGCTGTTCCTGAGACATGTGTGTCTTTCAATGCCCCAAAGACTGCGAGCATGTCTTGCAGCGCACGGTGGACACACACGATATTGACTCAGCTGACCCCTCCTTTGTTTGATGTCGTTGTTGTGCTTTGATGTTGTTGTTGACTGGACATTTTCAGATGAAATTATTCACAGATGTTCGCTTAAAACATATCTGCCAGTTAGGTTTATATATGTTGAAATTAGTGTGAGTAAAGAAAGTATGAATGTCAAATTGCATTTTTAGTGGCTTTTAGTATATCTCACGCTAACCCCACACAAAAGTTTCTGCTCTTTACCCCTGCATGGTGCAGATGATTCAGAAGTCACAGATTTCCTTTTAATGGCATCGGATGATTTCTTACTGATTAATCTAGTCACTTCGTTATTTATCGCTGACACAACTCAGGGTAAACGTGTCACCCATTCCGTCGATCGTTTATCAGGCCGTACCATCTCCGCATTAGCTACTTCAGTTGAACCTTTTGTGGTTTATGGTTCGGCTTCTTTGAACCGACTAGCCACGTCAACTACGGTAAGGGCATATTTATATGTTTTACGTCTTACCTTATTGTGTGGAAGAAACAAGTGGTCAGTCTGATTAGTCATTGAAATATCGAATACATTTTATCCATTATTTATTAAATAATATTTCCCTTTAACACACTGTACACATACACATAAGTAGTTATACCATCATCAGCAATCCATCAAACCTTATACCATATATCCTATGCTTGTCACTTTTCAAAGTATTCATTTTGTGTTTGAATGTTCGACCATTAAATAGGGCCTCCTTGAATAGTTTGACCCCAGTCTGTCTGTGTTTGTGTTTTAGTTGTTTTTTCACAACATATGTCTTTACACCTCTAGCCTTTCTTACCTTGCCACTGTCAGCTTTCTTTATGGAATACATTTTAGGTCTTAATCCGATATACTCTGCAATAGGAGTCCTGCACATTCGTCTTTCATCTTGCCAAGTATTTTCATATTTACTACACTGTATAGTGCGTAATCTTTTTGGTCATCTCTTGTATGGTGCCATTCTCTTCTCACAGAGGTTACTTGTCACCTCTTCCTACGAGCCTCTGTTATAATACGACCCTGTCATGGTGCGAGTGTTCAGGATTCGTGATTGGTTGCAATCAGATTTAGTTGTGCAATCAGCGACGTTGTTTCAAAAGTGATCATTCACAAGGCCTCGGTAATTTCAGTATGCTTCGGGAAAACTAGAACCTCTTCCTCTTCAAACATTTTTTCTAGACAGAACTCAATCATGTTATGGTGGATCAATGTCGTCGCCATCGCCCTCGTTGACAACAGACAAGCTAGCCATTAAATGTTTTGTGTGTCACATCAACACAAGTCGCCGGCAGAGGAGGGATACTTGTGGCCGCACATTTGCTTGTGTTAATCAAGTTGGATCTAAGTCGATGTAACACGTGCTCTGATTGGATAGAAAGAAGGGAGATAATTTGTGTTGCGATTTTTGCCACTAGGGATTTTACGAGAACCGGGAAATATGGCCGTATTAGAACAGAGGTTCGTTGGAAGATATGACAAGTAACCTCTGTGGGAAGAGAATGGTATCGTACATGTTTATTTTTTCCGTAATGTCCTCGGATACATCCTCGGTTTCAATTTTCATCAACAATGAATTGGTGTTAGTATTCAAAAAATTACATCTATCACCATATTGCTTCTTGAGTTTGTTGTAGTAAAAGTCATACATCAATTGCTTGGATAAGTCGAGAATACTCATACAGATGTATACTGGTCTGTTGAATTTTATATTACGCATTTTCATGTGCAATGCCACTAAGTAGTTATCAAATATTTTACTTCTGTTAAAGGCTGGGCTCGCTATCAGTTAGTAGTATACGTGATGGGGTTACTACATCCCTTGGTCCTATGGCATTATTTACGCCAAATAATGCCCCACCGATGGCCGAAAACTAGGGAAAATGGCAAAGACCAACGTTCGATGTCCCTCATTTTGAATGTATTTTTCGAATTTTATACATTGAAATGTGGTACTTTTTATGACGGACCACACTGAGTAGGTGAATAATGATCTCATTATAATTGTTTTAAAAGTGAGGGAGGTTTGATGTGTCTCAAAGTTATTGTTTTTTCGACTTTCCGAGGTCATAACTAAAACAGTATGCATGCCATTGTAAAAGTAATTGAAAGCGAGGGGGGTATGAGGTATAACGGAGGTACATGCAAAATTTGGTGAAGATCGATTAAATAGTTTAGGAAATATATTGTTTTGATTAATCCAAGTGTCGTTTGAGTGAAAGGCGGCCATGCTTGTTAACGAGGCTGGCATTAGGCAGTCGTTCCGTGTCGAGCTCGTTAGCTGTGTGTATGGCTCAGGCAAACACCTCGGCTTCTGGTCAGCCAGCAGTCGCTGAGCTCGTTAGCTGCGTGTACGGCTCTTCTAAATACAGGCATCACTGTGTCTCAGGCACGATGAGCAATTCCCCTGCCCGGTTCGTCTTTGAGGTAATACACGGCCGGCTGCGGGACTTTTAGACAGACCACACCAGATCGATGAATGATAATACTGTTGTAATTTTTTTAACAGTGAAGGAGGTTCCGTATCATTGGGTACGATGAGTAATTCCTCTTGCTGCCTGGTTTGTCCTTTAGGTAATACAAATGGGGTTGGCCTTCCTTGATATCCGCTCTATCGGATATATAGTGTAAGTTTTTATAGACCACACGTGGTCAGTGGCACGTTGCCGAGTATCACCCTCGTGTTCACCGGGCTGGTATAAATACCTCACGCTGAGCTGGTCCGACACTTTCTGCTCTTTACAATTGCGCGCTGTGCAGACGATTCTGCAGTCACTGATTTCATTTTAATGGCATCGGATGTTTTTTTATCGATTATTCTAGTCACTGCATCAGTGATCGCTGACAGGCAAATGCACGACCCATCCGTTGATCATTTACTGGGCATTACCGTCTCCCTTCTGTACCGGTATCCGAATATGCATTTGGCTAACGTTCCGTTAAACCTCTCTACAATGGCTTGACTATTATGGGCTCCCACCGTGCAACGCCTGACCTCGACCTCATGTTTTGCTAGCACTTG